AATAATAAAAATAATAATAAAATATATAAAACACACATATATTCCAGCAGGACTAAGCATAACATAATTGATCTGTTCTCTGCAGCCTATGTTACCTTTCATCCATCTCTCTGTCTCACTGTCCTCCTTACAGCATACATGTCATTCACAGTTTGTTTCTGTTTCTGTCGCATCAAAACTTACCTGAATCCTTGAGACATGTCGCGTGCCTTCGTCCTCTTCTGTAGCGCGTGGTCCTCGGCTGTATCACTTGAGTCTCGCTCTCTCCCTCTCTCTCAACTCGAACACGAAGACCCCCGCCTCCCCCCAAACAACCGTCGCCTTTCTATAGTATTTACCACTTGTGTCTGCAGGTCTTTAGAAACGTGCATTATGAGAGGGAACACAATGTTGCAATGCAATGTTTTTTTTTTATCACAGCTAAGATGACAGCAAAGACATTTAAATCTGCTGTCACGTTTAATGCATTATTTAAAATAAAATAAAAAATCACACCAGTGGAGCATTTGAGCTCGATTACTGCATTGCCATTAATATTATCTCATGCATGAATATAGGAATTTGTCAGTTTTTGAGGAAAAAAAAAAATGTTTTCGCAAAACTGTGTTTATTTGTGTTATTGTGTATGAAAGGCGTCCCATTATTACTACCCCATAAATATGTGCAGCAACTTCATCCGGATTCTTAATACAGTAATTCTGTTTTGTTATTTTGAGAGGGAGAGAGGAAATGAGATGAGGTGTTGGTGAACCACCACTTGAATTATATGACAACTCAACAACAACAACTGCAGGGAGTTTATAGGATGCTCACAAACAAGCAGATAAGAAGTTATCCTTCAGGGTATATATCTCATGTGTTTACTCCTTGAGTTTACTTTAAGGCCTCTGGCTTCTAAAACATGAAAAAGGATACGGTGGATGATATCAGCACCACGGACAGCAGTCAACAGTTTGCATCGCGCCACCTAGCGTCTGGTTGAAGGTCGCAGTGACATTTCAGTCATTAGGTCAACGGAGGCCAATCACAGATCTCAGTTCAGATCTCTTCAACCTATAAAAGAGCTTTACCACTTCTTCAGCTTGAGGTAAACATTTGTCTGCATTATAGAATCCAAAGTTTTCGTTAGACTATAAAGTATATATTTAGTTTATATCAGTGATCACCAACTCCAGCAGGCTACTGTCACTGAACAGAACTTCTGAAACATCTCCGCCCCTCAGTGATGAAGACGTTGAGTGAACGGCTTCACTTCACCCCGCGCACAGACACATGCCCACTCCCGGAGGGGCTCGCAGTTTTACGCGGTAGGGTCGTGTCGTGACTCACGCCAGGCGGTATAAATCACAAATAAACTTATAAAGGAGTCGCTTTGACACTGCCACTGCTGGTGCCCCGGGCTTCGGGAGCGAGCATCTGATATTGAACCTGAATAAAAGTGACATGTTTGGAAGGAGAGACTACTTGGATGCTGCAGCCACACTTGAGGGCAAAGGGCGACGGCGGTTTATTCAAGGACTGCGGTCTGCGTGGGTTGACCGCAAGGCTTTCCAGTAATGGCTTAAGCAGGATCATTATTTAGATCATGCAGTATTGGTCCAGAGAGATCAATCAATTATCCCTTAAAGAATAGGTATATTGTAATTTGGTGTGTTCTTTAAGTAAAATTGATGTGGCCGTCGTTGCTTATGGTTGTGAAAAATTGGATGATCAAACAATAAACAAACATTTCTAAACCCCATCAGTCAGTCTTTTGGCAGGACTATTTCTCATGTTAGGCCTTGCTTGGCGCAAAGTTGGCACTTACTCAGCAACATTTGTCCCTTTCCATCAAGGTGGGATTGATAGCATATATTACAAAAGCGACAGCTTACAGACAACAGCACAAGGATATTAGCCTACCTAAATAATTGGTTTGTTGTCTACAAACCGCCCAAAGACGTGCAAAGGAAAGCAAGAGTTTTCAGCAACCAGCACCGTCTTTATTAATATATCTATCACATGGGTTGGTTGACAAGGCATCTACAGCCTGTGTGTGTGTGTGTGTGTGTGTGTGTGTGACATGTGTGAGTCCGGATCATGGTCTTGTCATGGCAGACCTTTTGGTTTTCTCTCTTTTTAGTGCAGGTCATAACATTTGTGACTTAAGAATCAAGTTTTTTTGTGGTTGCCTTGCTCGGGCAGTAGACCTCAGATGAAGTACAGGGACCAATGAATCACAAATGTTTGCATGATATCATTCTTGGATTCATATAGTCTATTGCATATTGGATTTACAAACACAGAAAACAGCCTTACAGAAAAAATCTAAGCAAATGTTATGTTTGCATTTTGTTCTAATGCAAAATCCACTGTATAGGTTTTAATAATAACTCATCTGTATACAATGTTAGGCACTAATGCACTCCATGTAATTAACCTAGTAACTTCTTGCTATAACTACAAAAAACGTTTGGGCCATACATTTATTATTTTACTATTGTGCCTATACAGTTATTGGGATTACTTACCCTTTTTCTTTCATCTTGGCCGCTTTGAAGGCAGGCAGTCACCACCACACATTTGAACTTTGTGTAGTGCACGTGCAAATGGACTGTTGTTGCTCTGTGATCACTGAGGAAGATTCACCATGGTCATACTTAAGTAAATACATGACACCGACCACCTCAACTGACAAAACCTACGTTTATACCTGTGAGCTATGCTTGCAATTTTTGACAAAGTAGTTTGAACAATTTTTTCTAAGTATCTTTAGTTTACCAAACTAGATTTCTCCCTATAGGTAGATCTGCTATAATCCAATATCTTCCAGTGTAAAGTAATTGGTAATTTGCAAAAGCTTTACTACTTAGCTACTAGTTACCCCAACGCTGTCTGTATATGTCAGTAGTTATCAGTGTATTTAGTGTCAACGACCTACGCAGACCCGTACTTGATAAGATGTAGTCTCAGGGATCCAGTTAACGGTCTATAATGCAGATTAACAGTGAAGAATGTGAAACCTATAAACAGAATACAGACAGGTGACGTGAATACACTGATTATCTTGTTATCATTAGGCAACAAGTGAACATTTTGTCCTCAACGTGATGTGTTAGAAGCAGGAAAAATTGGCAGCGTGAAGACTTTGACAAGGGCCACATTGTGACTGGCTAGACGACTGGGGTCAGAGCAATCTCAAAACTGGCAGCTCCTTTGTGGTGTGTTCCTGGGTCTGCAGAGGTCAGTACCTATCAAAAGTGGTACGAGGAAGGAAAAGAGGTAAACCGGAGACAGGGTCATGGGCGGCCAAGGCTTACTGATGTACATGGGGAAGTGAAGGCTGGCCCGTGTGATCCGAACCAACAGACGAGCTACTG